TTCCATAAGATTGTAAAAGTCTGTACCATGTAGTCTCAGTGTTTAGTAGGCTATAGCCACCTAGGATTGTGTACATTCTGTGAGGGTCATGAAACAGTGAAGTTGCCCAAGGTCACATTTCTCAGAATGTATCTCCATCGTTAAGTGATACAACTGTATATCTTTTCCCATCTTTTTTTTTTTTAAACTTCTTTTTGACTTTATATTTGAAAGTAGTACCTTGTAGATATTATGTAGTTGATTCTTTAAAAAAAGAAAAAAAAAAAAAAACAATTTGGGCCAGCAGATGGCATGCAAGTTAAGGCTGCTGGATCCCACATTTAAGTCCTGGCGATTTAAGTCCTGGACCCTGTGGCTTGAAAATCACACTGGGCATGTGTGTGTGCAGTCCTAAAATCCCAAGAGGAGAATGAAAGAGAAGGAATTGTGGCATGGCCATTCTGCCTGAGGGGTGTTTTTTCACTCTTTCTCTCTGGTGAGTGCACATACCCTATTAAAAAAAAAATCGACCATCTCTGCCTTTTTAATTTAGGTGATTAGAACAGAGAATAGTGGCTCTGAGTGTGAAAGCCACAGAGAGGTGGTTGGGAATGTGAATCTGGATTGGTTGGTTTGCATATGGAAGGTAAGCCAAGTAAATTAGTTTTATTTGTTTTAGAGCTTTATATAAACAAAACTATATTATGACTGCATTCAGCCTCTTTTGCTTAGTCTTTGTCTTATGTGTGAGTTGCATGTCTCAGTAGTTCTTTTATTTATTTATTTATTTTAATTGCCAGAAGATGCATGCACTAACCAGAGACAGACAGGGAGAGGGAGAGGGAGAAAATACCACCAATGGGGTGTGGTCATGCTGTAAGCTCATCTTCGTTTCTCTGTCCTGTTGGGATTTGGGGCACACATGCATGCTTGTTTTTCAAGCTCCGTGTCTGAGATTCAGACTGGTCAGCCCTGTGGGATCCTGCTCCCTTAAGCACTAGGTCACAGGACTGGCCCACTCAGTAGCTCTTTTTATCGTCGCGTGGTATTTGAACATACCTCGGTTTGTCTATTCATTCTCTTGCCAACAAGCTTGTTTCCAGTTTTTGGTTATTGTACATAAAGGCACTGTGAACATTCATCTTTTTGTTGACATATTTTTATTTCTCTTGAGAGAAAATATTAGGTATGGAACTGCTAGGTCAAAAGGCAGTTGCACATTTAACTCAGAAATTGTCAGTTTTTTGAGATAGGTATACCATTTTACATTTTTCTAAGCAATAGAGGAGGTTTTCAGTTATCCCATGTCTTTACCAGCATTTAATATTAGTCTTTTTAAATTTATGTCTTGCTTTCATTTTTTAAAAAAAAATTAATAAAACCCTAAACTTATAATAGTTCTCTCAATATCTCTGACTCTTCTGCTTTTAGACCTATTTTGTAAATTTTTAGACAATATGTCAGCTGCCCAAAAATGTAATTTTGGCTGGTGTCCATAGTCAAATAGAATACCTTATCTCTCTCACATATACAGGTGTGCATGCACACACTTCACAATCCAAGAAGTACTTTTTGTCCCCCCCCCCAAAGTATTATGCATTTTAAAAAGATAGTAAATACTTTCGAGATGGGAAAAGGAAATATAATCTAATATGTGAAATACAAAGTAGAATCTGATACGTGCTCCAAAAGAGGTTAAGAAGTACTTTCTTTGGGGGTCTTGAGGGACTTGCGGGCTTTTGACAGGTGGTGGTGATAAAGATGGGCCTTCCTGGTGAAAAGAATAATGTGTTTTGTACCATACTGTTAGACGTACTCAGTCATACTTTAGTAATCTTGCTCATTTAGATGGAACCGTACTGAAATTTCTCTTTCATCTTCCACAGACATTTTGGGCATCTCTGAATGACTGTACTTCCTAAACTTTGGCTTTGACTTGGGACTTAGACACTGATATTATGACCAAGTTTGAGGTTTAGAATGTTACTGCTTTTTGAATCTTCACAGTGACTGTTCTGGGACTCTGTTTCATCAATTATTTTTCTATTTTCATGCTACTTCTATTTCATCTTAACTAAGTTATTATCATTTCACCTATGAACATTATTCAAGTCTCCCTTCCTCCTACAATTGTAGGGGGGAAAATAAGTGTTTCTTTAGTCCTGTTACCTTCGTTAAGCTTTTATTCTATTTTTCTCTCCTTTAACTACAGTAGTATTCACTTATGATTCCACCTCTCACCATCATCAGTTATTGAACCTCTTTTTTGCCTTCAAATTCCTAATTCAAATGCATAATTTTACATAATTCTTAGCTTATTATTTCAGACTGTCCATTAATTTGTTCTGACCTCTCTGATTTTATTTTACCCTACTCTTCACAAATATCCCTTTGAGTCAATATATGAACTACTAACAGTTCCCTATAGCAGAGTGGTTAAAAGTATGAGTTCTTAGGGGTCAGCAGGTGGCATGGTGGTGCTGGACTCTACATGGCTGACCATGGATTGAGTCCCAGAACTGGCAGCTTACTTTCTCTCTTTCTATTTGGCGTGCACATGTACCCTATAGCAAATTTAATAATAATAAATTAATTCAACTTTTTAAAGTATGGTTCTAGAGTTAGTATACGTTGATTTAAATCTCAATCCATTTACTTAACTTTGTGTCCATGGGCAAATTTCTTAATCTCCCTAAACCTTAATTTCCTTTTTGGAAAGAAATGGCATAATTACAGCACATAACGCATTGGATTACTGGAAGAATGAAACAAAATCATGGGTATAAAGCCCTGTGTGCCTGGCATGTGAGAGCAACCACTGAAAGTAGGAGGGGTAATGAGGTGGAAGTAGTTAGTGGTTGATGCTGTTATTTGTTCTCCCATTCCATCACCACACTCTTGTTCTTTTCTCTTCATGGATTACAATTCTTCCCCTCTGTACCTAACTACACTTTGTCCATATTCTTTTCTTTTATTTTTTAAAGAATTATTTATTTATTTATCCAGAGAGAAGCAAGCGCGTGCGTACACACACACACACACACACACACACACACACACACAGGGACAGTGAGAAAACAAGCTGCCAGGTTCAGGACTTGAACCACGGTTGGCCATGCGAGAATCCATCATCTTAACCACTATACCACCTGCTGGCCCCAGTTTGTCCATTTTTCAAAGCTCTCCTTTGGTTTCATGCACTATCTCCCTCCTCCTTACTAATGAAATCTATAGATATTTACCACATGCTAAAATGGTAATATTTTTCCACTGACAAATGACCATACCTTACTTGACCATAGTTTTTGTTATAATACAGACTATTACTTGAGCTTTTTTTCTAAAATAAATTTATCTTGTATGCTTTAGAAATGTGATTTATACAACTTATTCAGTTGTTAGGTGGTTTTATATTCTTGAGTCCATATTAACAATTTCTTTAAAAAAAATTTTTTTGCCATTGGGTGTATATGCTCACCAGAGAAAGACAGAGAGAAAGTGAGGAATGAAGCCTCCCCCCAGGGGGTGGGGGATGGCCACGCTGCACTCCCTTCTCTTCCATTCTCCTCTTGGCATTTTGGGTATGCATGCACATGCATGCACATGCACATGCACACAGCATGTTTTTTAAGCCACTGGATCTGAGATTCGAACCACACAGTCAGCCATGTGGGAACCAGCACCTTACCAGCCACCAGCTGGCCCAAGAATTTCTTTTTTGATTAGAGGTCAGTTTTCTCTTATTACCAAGAGGGCATAGGGAGGGAGGCAAGAAGGCTGCACACCACCACTAATTGGAAGACCAATTGGATAGATTTTTTAATTGTTAGGTTTTTTTTCTGTACTGATATAAAATTTAATATCAATATTTAGCAATGAGTGACATTCATTTTTTAATTTTCATATTACAATTTCAAGGAAATTGATTAAATGTTCAGGCAGTAAGGTTGGGCACAAGAGGAACTTAAGAAAATGTTAGTCCATATTTTCTGCTGAACGTTGGGAACAAATCTGTTTGTGATACGTGGATTTTTGCGTGTCTTTTTTTTTTTTTTTTAAGTGTTTTGGAACGCTTTTCTACTGTATGGTGGAGTATAAGTTGCAGAGATTTAAGCCCTTCCTTATATTAATGTTCCATCTCATTAACTTCATTGTTAGGACTTTTACACCTCAGTGATTTAAATAAAATAATCTAAATGTGCCTCTGTTTTCTTCTTTTTATCTCTTTTGAGGTCTAGATAATTATATATTTAGTTTTGCATTTTCATTTAGACTTCATTGTTAATTCTGTTACATGCAAGAGGATGATGAAGGGAAGCTGTTATATAACTGAACATCTTATGCTGCAGAAGCCCTGAAAGATAAGGGAATGTATTTATAAAAATGAAAAATGGTCACTTCTTTAGCTGATGTTTTATCATTTTTACCTTCAAGAGGTATTCAGACCACCAGGAACTTTATAACTATAAGACTACATTTTATTATAGAGTTCGATTGTTGATTATATATGAGTTTTCACATATACCCAGTAGTATTTATAGCCCTAGAACCCCAGTAAGGGTGAGTTTTGCCTAAAAGCAAGCTATATTTGTCCTTAAAATATTTTCTAAGCACTTTCAGAAAAAATAGGAATTATGCAGAGAATTTCTAAGCAAAGTCACCTTTGCAAATATTTGCACCTACTTGGAAATGGTAGGCATGATTAGGCAGTAAGGTTTTTTCCCTAAGTGATTTCCTGCCAGATATGAGCATTCCTTAGCACTGTGCATCCCAAATACAAGTTAAATGTCTTTGTTAAAAATTTAGAGAAAAAGGAGTTAATTTGAGTTCAGGGGAATGAAGCTCTTATGTTACCAGTTTGCATATTAAAAGAACATTTAATTACTAAGATATATTGTTAAATAATTTTGTAAAGATTAATGTATGATCCATTTGAAATGAGCAGTGAATTTCTGTTTTACATAAGTTCAGCTATGTGAGATATCGGAGTTCATTTCTAATTATTTCTTTTCTTTTTCCAGCTCACCAACGATTGGAACCAGCAACGTTGTCAGGGATTGTGGCATTTATCCTTAGTCTATTATGTGGCGCTCTGAATTTAATTCGAGGCTTTCATGCCATAGAAAGTCTCCTGCAGGTACTGTGCTATTTCTATTTCAAGTGACTGTGCTATTCATGCTACTTGTTACACAGTTGATTCGAATCGCATTGAGTATTAGTACAACTTACAGTGCTTGCTTAAACTCTGTGTTCTACATATGAACCCTCGTCTCCTAGAAGCACTGATTTTCAGTTGGCTTCTTCGACTCCACCAGCTCATACTCATGTATTGGAGGCATCAATATGTGTGTGATGTGGGCCCTGTAGGCTCGCAGCTTAAAGTTGGACTGGGAGGCAAAGAAGTGCAAGAGTAAATGCTCCGGTGCCAAGTCGGGAAGAGGAGAGGTCAGTGAGAGTCAGGGGAGGAGAAGGAGGCTGTGTGGAGGAGCGGTGAGCAGGCCCTGCAGATCTGAGCAGAGAGTGATAGAAGCATGAAGAGGCCACGTGTGACAGTGTTTTGTGGCATTTCCGTATATTCCTACTTGGTGATCTGCCCTTTACCCTTTTGGTTAGTGCCTTTAAAAACAGTGGGATATCATCAGTTTCTTCAGATATCACCAAGGATTTAATTTTCCAGTGGATTTTCTTCCAGAGACTACAGATATCAGAATATACTAACCTTTTCTCCGCCCCTCCCTCTTTTTGGTGAATTTTTAAAAAATTTCCTTTCTTAAAGTCTAGCACATTTAAGACTGCATAGCTTCCCTTTCTCTTGTTTCTACTCACTTTCTTTGAAGAATTCTCGCCACTTCTACATTCTGAGTCAGTTATATTTTTGTCAGCATTATGCTCAGAATACCATGTGTAAAAACCTACTCAACACATTTCTTATTCTGTTTTTAAATTGCTGTTTGTTGGGACACTCAAAGATTACCATCCTGTACCTTCAAAATATAGCTGGCCACCTAGAGCCAAGATGACTTCACAAGTTCAGGAACAGAGCTGTCCCTGGAGGGGATAGGCGGGGCTTCTCAGGACTTCCCAGTTCCTCTTCCATATCCCCTCTAGGCAGAGCCCCCTTCCACTTTCCAGCATAGCTAGTTACCAACCCTGGGTCTTTCTGTCCACTAGCCAGGTCAGACTTATTCTAGCAGGAGTTCAGTTTTGAGCCATATAGACAATCTGCCCCCCCCCCCCGAAAAAAAGGCAATTTGGAGACTGCTGACTGAAAAAGGCAGTAAATGAGATAGCTTTTGCTTTCCACAAGCTTGATGTAATGGAAAGAATAGTAGTATAGGTATGTGAAGAGTTGGTTTTTGTTGATGGAGCGGGCCTACACAGAGAAACCTTTAACACCACCGAGTCTCACTGTCTCTGATTCAGAAGGCAGTACAGAAATTTTGGAACCTGGGGCTAGGCTACAGGCCTTTAAGTTAAAATTTAGACAAGACTATTGTACATTATGTCATAACACCTGTTAAAAGGAACAATAATTTCTCATTTTTTAGCCATATAGACAATCGGCCCCCCCCCCCCGAAAAAAAAGGCAATTTGGAGACTGCTGACTGAAAAAGGCAGTAAATGAGATAGCTTTTGCTTTCCACAAGCTTGATGTAATGGAAAGAATAGTAGTATAGGTATGTGAAGAGTTGGTTTTTGTTGATGGAGCGGGCCTACACAGAGAAACCTTTAACACCACCGAGTCTCACTGTCTCTGATTCAGAAGGCAGTACAGAAATTTTGGAACCTGGGGCTAGGCTACAGGCCTTTAAGTTAAAATTTAGACAAGACTATTGTACATTATGTCATAACACCTGTTAAAAGGAACAATAATTTCAGATACTGAGGAATCTTACTCTCCTCTTCTTAAGCTGATTCTTTCCTTGTCCCTCCTCTGATTTATTTCTTAAAAACTAGGAAAAGTAGAATAAACTACGGCTTTCCATGTTCTTGAGATGCTACAGGTGGCCAAGGCCTGCCTTGATTCCTGATCGTTCCATATCCTCCTTCTGATCTTTGTCTCCTCACAGTAGGTATAATTTTAGGGTTCAGAAAAACAATAACCTAATTAATGTAATTGCCACTTATATATAACTGATTGATAGTGCTGAGATTTTTCAGGCTGTTTATGTTTTTAAAAGACAGCATTATAGATCAATATCTTTTATGAAAATAGATGCAAAAATCCTCAACAAAGTGTTAGTAAATCAAATCCAACAATGTATAAAAAGAATTATACATCATACTTAGTAGAATTTTTCCCAGACATGCAAGATTCACTCAACATTCGAAACCAATTAATGCAACACATCACATTATCAAGCTAAAGAAAAAAAAACTTATGATCATATCATAGATATAGAAAAAGCATTTGACAAAAATCTAACACCCATTATGGTAAAACTAATAGCAAGCTAGGAATAGAGGGGAATTTCCACAACTTGATAGAGAACATCTACAAAAAAAAAAAAAAAAAAGGAAACAAAACCCTACAGCTAACATTTAAATTACGAGAAACTATATGCTTTCCCCCCAAGATCAGGAAAAGGCAAGGACGTCCTTCTTTATCATACTCTCCCTTGATAATGTGCTAGAATGGTTCACAGAACTCAGGGAAACACATTCACCAGTATACCACTGGATTGTCAGGAAAATCATGATGCATTTTTTTTCTATTCTAAAGAGAAACTGCTTTCATTTTATTATTTTTTAAGAATTATTTTATTTAACTTTATTTACTTATTAATTTTGATTTGACCAGAGAGAGAGAGGGGGAGAGAGAGAGGAGAAAGTGAGAAAGCAAGCTACCAGGTCCGGGACTCAAACCACAGTTGGCCATGTGGGAATCCAGCACCCTTAATCACCACGCCACCTGCCTGCCCCTCATGGTGCATTTTTGCATAGAAAATAGTCATGGCTTTCCCAATGACCTAATATAAAGGATATTACAGATGATACAGGCAAGTAGCTGTGGAAGAGGTGCATAGGTGGTTGTCTAGAAGGGTCATAAGCACAGGAGCTTCTGGTCCCATGAACTTCGGGTTTACCACCCTCCTGAAAAATGGATTTGTTTACCAACTCAGAAGCTCTTTGTCTTTTGGAATTTTTATGGAGGCTTCACCATGTAGGCATGATCAATTATTAACTCAGTATGTATCTTTTATCTCCTTCCTGAGTTTAGGGGTGGGCTCAAAGTTCCAGGCTCCTAATTATGTCTTAGTTTTTCTAGTAAACAGCCCCCATCTGGGAGCTGGCCATGAGTTGCCCAATTAGAACCAAAAATGCTCCTGTCTCCGGAAATTCTAAGGGATTTAAAAATTGTGTGTCATGGGACCAGCAGTTTGCATAATGGTTACATCGTTGCTGGATTGCTACATAATTGACCATGGTTATGCTACATAGTTGACCATGGTTCAAGTCCCAGACCTGGTTGCTTAAAACTCATGCTGAGCTCATGTGCCTGTGTGCCCAAAATCCCAAGAGGAGAATGGAGGAGAAGGGATTGCAGCATGGCTATCTTCCCCGGGGTGGGGGTGGGGGGATTTTTCACTTTCTGTCTCTGGCAAGCACATGTGCCCGATAGCAAAAATCTCTCTTAAAAAAAAAAATGAAAGAAAGAAATTGTGTGTCAGATGTTCCTATCACTTAGAAAACTTCAAAGGTCTTTGGAGCTCTTTAAAGAACCAGCATTGGGACCAGCAGATGGCATAATGGTTACATTGTTGGACTCCGCTAGTCAACCACGGTTCAAGTCCTATACCTGATGGCTTAAAACTCATACCAGGCACATGCGCTTGTGTGCATGCCCAAAATCCTGAGAGGAGAATGGAGGGAGGGATTGTAGCGTGGCCATCCCCCTAAGGGATTGTTTCTCACTTTCTGTCACTCTATTTCTCTCTGGCACATGCCCTATAGCAAAAATCTCTCTCTTAAAAAAGAAAGAAAGGAAGGAAGGAAGGAAGGAAGGAAGGAAGGAAGAAAGAAATTAGAATAAAAGAATTTCCTAGTACCTGTGTTTATAAAGTCTTAGTGTTCTGAAGGAACAAGGCACAGACTGTGTATTTCTCATTATATCAGACCCAGAATAGCCAGCATAATACTGATAAAGTAGAACAGAGTTGGAGGACTTACACTACTTGACTTCAAGACTTACTAAAAGAATAGAATAATTTAGGCAGTGTGATATTGACAAAAGAATAGACAAATAGATTGATGGAACAGCAACGAGAGCCTAGAAAGATACCCACAGACATATAGTTGATTGATTTTTTGACAGAGGTGCAAAAGCAATTTAATGGAGAAAGGATAGTCATTTTAACAAATGGTGCTAGGATAATTGACATCTACCTGCAAAAAAGTGACTCTAGGAACCAGGCAGGGGCACAGTAGTGATGCAACTGGACCCATGTGGGGAAGTCCCCAATTTATGTCCTGGGCCTCCTTATGCACCTGAGTGTGTAAGTGTGCCCACGACTCGGGCTGGCTGGGGTGGATCACAGCATAAAAATCTTTTGAGTTGCCTCTTTTTTTCTGTCTTTTTCTCTGTGTCTCCTGGAAGAAATACATTTTTTAAAAAAAAATCTACATACACCTTACATATTTCATAAAACTTAATCCAAGATGAATCATAGACCTAAATGTGAAGTGCAAAGCTATAAAATTTTTAAGAGATAACCTAGGAGAAACCCTAGGTGACCTTGGGCTTGTTGGTTAAATACAACACCAAAAGCATGAGCCATGAAAGAAAAAAATTAGTAAATAGAACTTTGTTAAATTCCTTTGGCTCTATAAAAGATATTGTTATGTGAATGAAAAGCCACAGAGTAGTAGAAATTATTTACAAATAGGTGACCAGCAGGTGGTGTGGTGGTTAAGGTGCTGGACACTCCCACATGGCTAACCACGGTTTGAGGCCCAGACCTGGCGGCTTCCTTTGTCCCTTTCCCTCTCTCTCTCTCTCTCTGTCTCTCTGGTCAAATTAAAAAAATAAATGAATGAATAAATAAAATTAAATAATAATTTTAAAAATTTTTATAAGAAAAGTATTTACAAATAAAGGAGCATGGTTTTCAAATATATATAAAGAACTCTTAAAAC